TGCTTAGGTGTTATTATAGAGAGAGAAATAACGATATGCTTGGAAGTTATTATAGAGAGAGAGAACTATATGCTTAGGTGTTATTATAGAGAGAGAAATAACGATATGCTTGGAAGTTATTATAGAGAGAGAGAACTATATGCTTAGGTGTTATGAGAGTGGAAACACTATATATGTACATTTTAAGAGACAACTATCTGCTGAGTTGTCATGAGAGACTGCGTTATATTCTTATGTCTTATTAGAGAGAGCGTTATGCTTAAATGTTGAGAGAGAGAGAACTATATGTTTAGGTCTTATGCGAGAGAGGAGAGAGAGAACTATATACTTAGGTGTCATGAGAGAGGGAACACCATATACATAGGTGTTAAAAGAGTACTATATGCTTAGATAATAAGAGAGAGAGAGTGAGAGAGCTTTATGCTCAAAGTAACACTTAACTCAGCAGTTAAATCTTAATACGTTCACGTACCTTAACTATTAACAAAAATGTATCTTATTTGTGTATCACTCAGCTGTAGATCCTCAAATCATCTCTGAATTCATACTGACACTGTCCTTCCGTCTGGAGGGTGACTAATTTTGTTCCCCATGGTCCCTGTGTGTGTTGTAAAGTAGTCATTGCTCCAAACTTGCTCCTGTGATGGATTACAATATCAATACAAATCAGTAAACATAAGATTGGTGACTACTTTACAATGCAAACAGGGACCATGGAGAACAAAAGTAGCCCCCCTCCAGAAGGAAGGACAGTGTCAGCACCAATTCAGAGATGATTGGAGGATCTACGCCCGAGTGATACACAAATAAGATACTTTTTTGTTAATAGTTGTGGTACTTGAAATGCTTTTTTAAGAATTAGCTCCTGAGTTCAGTGTCACTTTAGGTGGAGAGAGAGAGAGAAAGAGAACTATAAGCTTAGGTGTTATGTGTGAGACAGAGAGACAGAGAGAGAGAGAGAGCGCTATATGCGTAGCTCTTACGAGAGAAAGAACTAGTTGCTTAGTTGTTATGTGAGAGAGCGCTATATGCTTAAGTGTTATGACAGAGTTACATGTTTAAAACAAATTTCCACTTTTGCAGTCAAATTTGAGAAGACCTCTCTACATGTTTGTCGTGTGTTCCCATTCACATGGCGTAAGGAAAAATAATGTAAAAAAAATATTTCTTACCTTTTAGATGTTTTGTTGCAGCAGGCAAGATGACTGAATCTAGCTTTTACTGAGCACCTTCACAGTGATCTGTCCTTATAGAAAGAGTTAGGACTGAAATTTGAGGATTGTGTTTCCCTCAATAACTTTATTAACGTTCAATAAACAATCAAAGGTTGTAATCCTTTAACCCTTTGTTAGGATAGGCAGTGTTAAAATCTACTTGACAAACAATAACAAACAAACCCCTGCTAACATTACAAAAAAGGGGAAGCAAGTAGAAATGTTCACCCTTAAGAAGTCAAGAAACCTTAACCCAAAAAAAAAATGTAAACTGCAAGAAGCATTTAAAAAAAATATTTTTCATCTTATGCTATGTGAATGGGAACATGTAAACGAATGTAAAATAGGTGTTATCCCAATTTGGCTGTGAAAGTGGAAATACATTTTAAGTGTTGAGAGAGAAAATTATTTGCCTAGGTGTTATTGTAGAGGGAAAGAAGAGATGAGAGAAAGAGAACTATATGCTTAGGTGTTATAAATTGTGCAGGCCCAAAGATTTAAAAATCTAGGAAACAACTTCAACAGGGGAACCTGGGGGGACGTGTAATTGAAATGTGGTCCTGATTAATTTCATTACACTTCTTGAATTTAAATGCATTGTTATGTGACCAATTTTATTTTACTTGTCTAGCGATAAATATTTCAAGTGTATTTCCTCTGCTGTAAAAAGTTACCCAGTGCAATCTGTTTCATTTTTGTTGTTTTTTTATAGCTAGTTTTATCAGAGGTAAAGAGCACCACCTAGTGGATATGTGCACATGAAACATTATTTTAAATTGTTGATGTTTTATCCAGCTACTATAAAAACACACGCACACAAACACATAAATTAGTATTAATTACATAATAGTAATACATAAATTATGTAATAATTAACAAAAAATAAAAATAAAAAAAAAAAAAAAAAACACATTAACAAGTGTAGGTTTATGAGCTGAAATTAGGTTCTATGCCTCTTCCTGCTAGCAATTTTATTTATTTGTTCATTTACTGAGGCATATGTGCACAGTAGAATATGCCTGCACACATGTCTCATCAATGCATACTTCCACATTATAACAACTGCTTTGGGG